CTTTCAAGTAGGGGATTAATAGGGTGATCGAAGTTTCATAACAATACTATGATTTTGTTAATTTCTTCCTTTAGGCCACTTTTCTTTATTCTTCAAAATGGCCTACAAGTAAACATATTAGCACTGTAAGGGAAACAGAAAAAAACTTAAAATGCATCAGATCAAAATATGATTGTACCCAATGTACCTTTAAGTGAGCAAACGTCGGAAAAATGTACAATTGTACCTATTTTTTCGTCCCTGAATGGAATCATAAATTTGGATGAAAACATTTTGTAGAGAAATTATTACGCATTAGCACATGACCATTTACAACTATATTTATTAATAAATTTTATTCGCTGATAGCTTGATGTTTTTGTAAAAGAACAGGCTTTAAAATTTACAAAAAACTTTCACTTTAAAATTGTTTTCCTGTTAGGTTGGCATTTTTCGGCCTCCGATTGTATTTCTGCCATTGAAAAACTGTTTCTCATAAAAATAAAATCGCCGTTCGGAGTTGGCGTAAAACTGTAGGTCACTCCCCTCTGTGTGACAACATCAAGGCGCACGCCACAAATCGGAGGAGAAGCTCGGCCAAACACTAACATATTGTATAAGGGCCAATCTATTAGTTATATTATTATTGTGGAAGCGTAAATATTGTGACGAAAAACTAAGTTATTTTAAATATACATAAATTTGGGTAAAGAGCGATCTTCCTTTTTTAACTGACAAAAGAGGATATCAAAATTTATTGCTCTTGAACTGAGTTGTAGTAAGGAGGAGGGCAGAAATTGTATTCCTCAGTGAGGAGTTTTTTGCGAACTCTGTGTTAAAATACGATAACATTTAACAGGGAGTCGATAACGATAGTCGGGTGTACGTAATCGGACTGTCACTACAGCATCATTCCCCAGAAACTCTTTGGGAATTTATATGCTGTTACAAACAACAACAATAACGATGTTTAATCTGTAGTTAGTTGAGTAACCGGCCGTAAGGGAGGTTTTAAAAAATCAAAATTAAAGCTAAATAAACAGGCTATCTGGTTCACATATCGGCCTTACTGAAAAAATAAAATTTCAAGCTCGTAGATAAAAAAGGGGAAAAATTTGCTAATGTATTCCTTCGTGCTATCTGTTAGAATTGCATGAGAACCGTAGCTCCTCTTAAAGCTTCAAAATGTTTTTTTTTTTAAGTCTGAAAACAGTCTGTCAAAAATCACCGATTTTTTTTTTTTGTTTTGTTGCTCTTTTAATCTTATTTTGTATTGCATCATCTGACATTCTTTGAATAAAGTCAAATTACGGACCATTACAACCAATTCATATTTAATCAGCAGCAATTCGTTGTTAGTTTTATTTTGAATTAAAATGTGATAACGGGTGTGACACATTTTTCTGCCTTACATTAATTTTACTAATAAAATACATATAATTTATGTTTGCCAGTTCTTCTCAAAACCGTTTCACGCTTTCATAACCCTTTTTCGATTTACATTTTCATGGAAATACCCATTTGTGTTTTTTATTATTTCTTAACCACTCAAAGACAGCTTAAACGCTGCTCTTGAAAATATACGCACATGTCGATGACACTACTGAAAACTAAAAAAAACAAAAAACACTTTACTGCCCCATGTCTCTAATCCATGCCTAATCCTTACTACTTACTACTGGAGGGGTTTTGTTTAGTTTTGAGCTGAGTCGTTATTGCAGAGGACCATCGGTATATAATTTCTTGCTTCAAAATGGTATAAAACTGGATCTAATTACTGATTTAAGCATGGTACTTATGTATATCAACAAATAAACATGATTTGTATCCTTTACGTAGAAAGATATCCTAATTCGTTAGTTATATATATATCTTTAAGCGCAATTTTCCAAATGATCGCCTTGACCAAATAAAACGTGCGCATTTTTCTACAAATTTCTTTTATTTAGGAATATGGGGTCTACCCTTTTCCACACATTTACACATCTATTAGGTAGTTCAACTTTCACATTGGCATTTTTAATATATGCGTCGATTTTACACCGTACCGTACGCATTTCTATTTTCTTACAAAACAAATTACATATTCAAGATTACCACCTCCCTATAGCGAGTGTCGACTAGCGGTAGATAAACGACTATTATTCAAGTATCGCTTTTCCATGGTATTGTGAATTTCGATTTCTCGTTCACCGTCTTCACCTGTTTCTTTGTTGAAGGATTAGCGACTAAAAGCTATTCACCGTCGCTTATTCAACGAGACAACGACATTCACAGCACCACGGAAAAGCGATAATCGAATAATAGTCGTTTATCTACTACCAGTCGACACTCGCAATAGGTGTGTACATAATTTATAAAGATTTTCATACTTAAATTAGCTCAAAAAATAAATAAGTGTTCTCTTCTTCGCAACAACTTATATCAGTTTGCATTTACTAAGTGAAACTACGTTTACATATAAACTTTAATATAATGTTAGTGTATGTATATCTATGTATGCAATGGAATATGTATGTATGTAGACACGTATAGGCTTAAGCCAAGCAAGCACTTTATATGTATATAAATTCACACCTATGTACAGATGTATGTATGTATGTACGTATCTAGATTGCCTCTATGTAATTTAGCTCCCCATTGGCATCAGCAGTTGCTACGCAAGTTCTTGCTGGACAAATCGTTGTATTCAATCCATTTTTGTATTTCAGGTGGTACATCAGGTTTCAATTTCACACGCGCTTGTCCATTTTCGGCCACATCCAAATTTGTTGTGGTCACTGCACTATTGTCCAGACTAGAAGTTGAGCTAACAATATTGTGAGTTGCTTGTGCCTGCATACCCTTAGGCGCCAATAAGTCGCTCATCACCTCCTCGGTGGAGCAATCGAGTATGCGTTGCCGGCAAATTGCAATGGCGTGAACGAATTGATCGGAGAGACGTACGAAACGATGTTCCATATAGACAGATTGATCGTCCCAGTAGACGATCTGAAAAAGCGTAATAAATATTTATTCTATAATATAGTTTATACCAAAATTGATTTGATGTTACAATTTTTATCTCATCAACACACTTACACGCGATTGTATTTGAAAGCGGTGATAAGGTCTGATAAATCGCCGATAACGTATGGTAGCTGCTCCCTGAAAGACAGAACCACCTTTCGCTTTTATGGTGCGATACAAATCTGTGCGCTCATAGAAGTCAACACGCGCGAAATCCAGCTCACGTAAGTAACGCGCATTGTTCATGTGATAAAGCAGCCAATCGATGTCATTGGTGAGGCAGAGACCTGGAGGGGATTTGTAAGGAATACTAATTAAATTTGCTACACAAAAAAAAAGACATTAGGTTCCAATGTCAATACAAAAAAATCTGTGCTTTTTGCATCGGAATTATAAAT